GTACGACAAATCGATATCGAGCTCGGTTGCCCAGAAACAAATATTGATCCGAGTCACCTATTTCGAGCTCGGTTGCCCAGGAACAAATATTGATCCAAAGATCTTTGTAACTTCGTCGAAAGTTGCTTTTTTTTATGTTTCGTCTAGAGTAAAGTACCCTAAACTAGTACCAGAAGTATTGAATTTTTTCAGTAATTCTTGCTGTCTTTAGAGTTAGCTGTTTTTTTAGCTTTTTGAAGGTATAGAGAACACTTACTATAGACTTGAGATTGTTTTGTAGTTGCTAATAGATGATTTATTCTATGTTAAGTATTGTTGACAAAGCGATTAATATCATCTGTGTTAACTTCAGGATGTGAGAGAAGGACAAAAGACAACGGAAGGTCCAAGAAAGGTCAATGAAAAGGAAGGAAAAATCTGCTATCATTCCGAATTGTCTCGTGTAGTGCTCTTACTGTAAACTGAAACTGGTTTTGATTTGAAAATTCTAATTTATTGTGGATGCAATATTACAGAATAAAGGATTAATATGAGAGATGTTTATTTTGCTCCTCTTTATTTTTTCAGATAGACAACAAGATACTTTGGAAAAGAAGTGTAAATTGGGAGTTTAAAAACCTTCTCCAACCTCGTCGTTGTGGTGCACTAAAATAACGCTATGTACGAATGGGTATCTTATTAATTTTCATAAGAAATGACCATTTCAACCAAACGTCTTAGGAGAGTCAACCTTGGAAGGAACGAAGAATCGGGGGTCGATCCGCCACCGTCCCCCACCACACCCATCTCTCATAGACAGTTATTTTGTAATTAAAGACAAGTTCATCCTTGTGGTAACTACGTCTTTTAATACACATTTATGTAGTAAGACGCATGCTTATCACAATATGTCGTACCACAATGTTGAACTAGTCTCAAATTACAAAACAACTGTCTATTAGAGGTGGGTTTGTTGGGGGACGGTGGCGGATCGACCCCCGATTTTTCGTTCCTTCCAAAGTTAACATTTCCCCTCAGACAATTGGCTGAGATGTCACCCAAAAGACTTTTCCTTTAAAATACAGCATGGACGCACACCGTACTTTACGTTAAGTGCACCACTAGGAAGAAGTTGGCGTCTTTTTAGACTAACAGTTTGCACTTATTTTCAAGGGTGAATTTTTTCCGGCATTCTTTGGTGAAGGGGGCAGAGATACCTGCGAAATAAAAAGAAATAAACGATTAACTTACTTTTTATAGTTTTAGAGAGGGCTTCATATGAGAACTATAACGTTCGGTTCAACTTTCCACATAAGTTATACTCACCAGAATATTAAGTATCATTACCAATTTTTGCTTTCTTTCTAGGTTGATATTTGTTTTGTTTTGTGCAACCAAACCTCTGTCTTAAAACACATGCGTATTATGCGATGTTGAAACCA